CAAAAATTTTAGAAATAAAAAACTTTAAATTTTACTTCAATTTTTTTCTGAGAAATGATAAAAATCAGGGAAGCTCCGGTTAATATATTCTTGAATTATCAATTGATTGATAATTCAGTGTAATTTAGGACTGAGTATTAACGTAAATTGGAGAATTTTCGTCTTCCTGCAGTACAAAAAATTGGAATTTCATTGAATTTTAATGTAAACATGAAATTTCATGATTTCTCCTCTCCAAATCGAATTCAGTGTTAATTATTCAGTTCATGAGGACCATTTGGGGGGTGAGTCCTCCACCATGATATAAAAAAACAAATAGGTTGTTGCTTGCCTTCAAGGACCTATTCTTCATTTTCAGAGAATTTCACTTCATCTTCGAAATTTTATAAATTGAAAACTTTAAATTTCATTTTAATTTTTCTCAAAAAAATTATGAAAATCAGGGAAACTCAGGTTAATATATTCTTCAACCATCAATTGATTGATTCAGTGTAATTTGGGAGTGAATATTCAAATAAAATAGAGGAATTTTCGTCTTCCTGCAGCTCAAAAATTTGGGATTGCATCGAATTTTAATTGAAACATGAGATTTTATAATCGAATTCAGTGTCAATCCTTGAATTCATAAGGATCTCCTGGGGGGAGGGGGCATTATAATATTAACTAGTGGATTGAGCTGTTGGTCGCTCGCTGCGCTCGCTCCCATTGCGGGTGGGTTGGTAGCGGATGTATTCATGTGGGTCTGACCCGTCGGACGGGTCGCACCAACAACTTCCCGATATTATTATTCCTCCCATTTTGACTAAAAGAATCCTTTTCAACTCTCAATACTCTGTTTATTTGTTCATGAGAAACCCTTGTTTTTAATTACTTGTTTTTAATTATATGATTCATAACTATACTTACATCATTTCATTGCCAGGGAAGAAAGCATCGATTTCCGCACTGCTCGTAAAGTCATACTCACGCGACATTTTGGTAAACACAGTTCTCACTTGATAATTTTATCAAAGCACACGCCGGTTCGGCACAGTTGGTGTACATGCCGGAAGTAGACGCAAAAACTTGGTCAATCAAAAGATGTCGCGTTCATGAGAAATGTGTCGCATTTTCATGAGACGAAGTACACCACTGATCTCAGCATTTGTTTTCATATAATATTTCTCTTAACTCGAAATACGATAAGATTTCTAGTATTGAGAGTTAATATTAACATCGGAGTGATATAAATAATGAGAAATTTGGAAAAACAACACACTTTCTTAGCAACTAACTCCAGATGAGTTAGTGACCAATACTAATTGGTAGTAGAGGCGCCAGTCGATTACGATGGATTCCAATTGGATTTTTTTAATTTCTCATTTATTGATCGAAAAATGGCAATTTTTGGAAGGAATCGAAGAGAAGTATGAAATTTTCTTCATTATAATCATTCTATATGTGATTTTCATGAGATTAAGAAAGTGTTCGTTGCTTTTTTGTCATTTTGAAATTTTCTTTCCGGGAAAACTCAAAAACCACTAAACAGATATCAGCCAAAATCTAATCCGCTCTAAGTTGAATGAAAACCTATCGATTGAAAAAAAAAAAAAGTCAAATCGGACAATTCGTTCACAAGAAATTGTTAACCAAAATTTTGACCACGTACATACCTAGTAACACACACACACACACACACACAGACAGACATTTTGTTTAAAATTGTCTAGGAACATCGAAAAGACCTTGAAACATGGAGATTTGATGAAAAATCGATTTTTGATTTTCGAGGTCATTACAATATTTTCCCTGCCGGGAAGTTGAAAAAACACGTTGGTTTTTGCTTTCTTTCACGATCGATCGATAGACAATTATCCCCCCGCCTAAAACGTAAAATCCCCATGCAAACTAAATAAATAAAACCAGCAATAACGTAGCTTTCAGCCGTGGAGTCATCGTTTAACGTGGAATGGAAAGCCAGCGATAGGCACGATTCACTGGCACAGTAAAACCGATGCACGAAACCTCCCGTTGTGAGGTAAAACTGGGGTGACTGAGGGGCAAAGAGAAGAGGGCATTGAATTGTGAATTCACGGCTCGTGCTCTCCCCTGCGTTTCGCTGATAGCACATTAGGGTATTACGACGGCCCAGCATTCGATCAATGCTCAAATTCTCCGACACTACCGCTGGTCACTCTGTGGACCTTTCTGCAGACCTGTCTACTTCAAGTTTTACCCAGCACCTGGGCTCGGGTATTGCATTACAGGAATTACCGTTATTGGGATGTACCATGGAAATACGTGATCATTGTTTCGTAAAGGGGGACAATTGAAAATGGGGAAATTGGTTTCGACGTTTTCTGTATATGCGAGACGGAAATTATCAGCAATATTATTGGAGACTTCTTGTTTATACGATTATGGATTATTTAAAAATGGTAAATTTGTCGGGGCGGCATTGAATGTGTCGATCAAGAATTTTATAGAACAAGTGGATCTTCCGTGTTGGAATTAATGTTCAAAATGAAGTGGAGATTTAGTAAAATAATTTTTTTTTTCTTTACTGTGGAGATGTAGCTTCAACATGAAAAGGGTGGATTCCTTATCCAATTCTGTGGAATGAATGGATCTTCTATGTTGAAATGAATCTTCATGATGAATCGGAGGTTTAGTAATAGGAAATTTGGATAAATCAGATACTATGCTACATAAAAAGGGATATAGAGGCTTTTAAGTTTGGCAATTTTAAGTTACTTTTGAAATTTTTTCGCTGAAATTGCGGGGATATTTCTCGGAAATTTTAGTCACATTACAGTTCCACTAAAATAAATTTTTAATTAATTTAAAATTCAATTACATTGCAAAATTTTTGTCTCCTCGGCTGGCAAAATTAGAAATTTCATGATTATCCGCAGTGTTATAGGAAATTCTTTATCCACTGAAGAATTTTGTGGATAAAGTGGATCTTCTGTGTTGGAATTAATCTTCAAAATGAATCGGAAGTTCAGTAAAATGAAATTTCAATAAATCAGATATTATGCTACATAAAAAGGGAAATGGAGGCGTTTAAGTCTGGCAATTTCAAGTTACTGTTGATAATTTGTCCCTGGAATTGCGGGGATATTTCTCGGAAATTGTAGTCACATTACAGTTCCACTGAAATAAATTTTTAATTCATTTCAAATTCAATTACATTGCGAAATTTTTATCTCCTCGGCTGGCAAAATAAAAAATTGCATGATTATCCGCAGTGTTATAGGAAATTCTTTATCCACTCAAGAATTTTGTGGATAAAGTGGATCTTCTGTGTTGGAATAAATCTTCAAGATGAATCGGAAGTTCAGTAAAACGAAATTTAAAGAAATCAGATATTTTTCAGTTCGTCAATTTCAAGTACCTGTTAAAAAAATTTCGCTGAACTTGCGTGTACACTTCTTGAAAATTTCCATTATTTCACAGTTCCATTGAAATAAATGTTTAATTAATTAAAAATTCAATCGCATTGCGGAATTCTTGCCTTCTCGACTGGCAAAATCTGAAATTTCACGATAATCAGCAGTGTTATAGGAGATTCCTTATCCACCCGATAATGCATTATCCAAAAATGTTAAATTTGTCGGTGGAGAATTCGCTGAATGTGATCTCATGATCTGATGTCTCCATTGGCTCTATCGGGGCTCGGGTTTACTGCAAGTACACGAGAAAGTATTGGATTATTCCCTTCAATGCCGAAGACATTCTGGGTGGCGAAGCTCTCGGGTCGAGTCTTATCTATGCTAAATCCGGATTTAGCAATCGAGTGTTTCACAATCCACCAGATTATCCTCCTTCCTATGAAAAAAAATCTGAGAATCATCCATTCTTACATGTACGTATCTGCTATTTCCATTGGTTTTCGTTTGCATTCCAGACCACTCGTGAGACTCCTTATCTCGATTGAATTTCATCCCGGATGGGAAAATAATGTCAGACGGGGGATGTTCGAGGGAGTCACACATTTCCGCTAAAGTGTGCAGCATAATCCGCATATTGAGTGCAACTGCATTGAAAAATTGTTGATAAAATTTTATAAATTTTATTCAGAATTTACTTCAAATAAAAACCAATTGCTTTGTCCTAAAAATTAGTTTTATCGAAAAGTTTAAGCGAACAGTTTTTCTTCTGTGCCTCAAAGATTACACAAGGGATTCTTTTTAATACACAAATGCCAATTTATTCTTCACGAATACATACCACAATAGTGAAAGCCTGATCACGCATTTCCTAACGAGATTCCGACTTTCATGCAAGCCCAATTATCTTGTCCGTCAAAATAGAACGGGAGCTAACCAGATATATCGATCGGTTGAAGAAAAATATAAGTCATCAGGGGATTTCCTCTCCTAGCGTGCCTCGCAAGTTCATTCAGGCTGGTGAAAAATCAATAGAATAAAAAGTTACGAATCTCTGGAAATATCCGTCATCAATTCAAACACTCACGAAAAAATTTAATTCAAAAAACTGGAGGATTTTTACAGTTTCCTACAGAAAATCCAAATTCAAAATCCCACAGAAAATTTCTCAATCTCAATAGATAAAATTGCATAAAAACATGACATTTTACCAACTTTTTAAATAAACTCGTTTCTGTTGGACATTTTCTATGAAAAAACGCGCAAGAAGCTCCGGAATTCTTCAATAAAATGAGCCAAAATCCAATAGATTTCCGATTGAATTCACTTGATTTATCAATAAAATTTTTTGTGCACGTCCTCTCGCACCGCTGAACAAATTAATCGTCTTTCCAGGAATCTTGTTATGCGTAAATCACAGACAAACGATTCGGGGGAGGTTGACTCCGGGAAAGTGGAGACGAGGGATTCCCAGGAGACATTGGCATCTGGGAGCGCACGTGCGGATAGTGAGGTGCTGACCGATAACAAACTAAAGGACGTGAGATACGTGGAGAGTGGCATCATTTCGAGGTACGAAGGTCGGTGAGCACCGAGACGGGGCGAGCAACCCCGTTGCCTCGGTCAACAATTAACAACTGTCTTGTCTACCAGCGTCGACGAAACACAGAACAGGTTAGTCACAATGCAAAATACATAATACTTGATTAACTTGATTAACCATATGGAGGGATGAACAATAGGCAATTATAGGTGTTTTAATTTTCCGAAGGAGAACAATGGAGAATGAGTATTTGATGTTTTTTGTTTCTTTTTTAACTTCTAATCCACGTTACGTACGTGGCGAGAGGTCGATTTCGAATTTTACCATTAATCTTGTGAATAGCTCATTCAATCAAAAATACAAGTACTTTGGCTATTTTTTTTATTCAAGCATTTCTGAATAACTACAATTCAATTTCAAAATGTGAACTATTTCCAGATATTCTGGTAGCTTTGAAGGGAAATTTTCCATGCGGATTGCGTATAGAATTTCTATAGGATTTTCGTATATGATATTCGGATATTTCTATACGGATATTTATTATAGGAATTATTTCTATACGATTCCTATAGGTTTGATCCTATACGACCTACTGCCACATGTATAGAAATATTTCGTATGGAGTTGCGACATTTCTCTACTTTTTTCTCTAGAGCGGTTTAATTTGAAAAATTGCAGTTTTTTTTAAATTACGGGCATTTCTCTCTATATAAATAAAAAAATAAGGCGAAAAATTCAGGGGACGCTGGGTGCCTATACGGGGGTTCCTATATGGGGAGGTGCCTGTATTTATAAGGGATGTCTATATGAGGGGTGGTCACAAAGGAGATATCGATATTTATGGAGGATTACTATATTATGGGGTGCTCATATGGAAGATGTTTATGGGTACGGTCACACCGCTGCGGTCACACGGACGGGGGGGGG